GGAAAGAGTAAATCAAAGTTTAAAAATATCCTGACAAAAGTCTGTTTCATAAACATACACTCTTAGACTGTTAACACAAATATATAAATTGAAAAAATGTAAACAGAACTTTTATTTCATGTTCAATAATGTATCACACCAACATCCGCTGACATAAATTGCTGGTTATTTTTTATAAAACAATAATGAATAGATAGGCTTTTTACTACTCGCCATGTGTGTCCCATTACCTACATTTTACTAATTAAATGATCCGTAAAATCCACTTTACTAACGTTATCTAACACAAACTAGTACTTGTAATAAGGAGTTCAGAAAACAGATGATGATTCAGGAGGAATGGGTTTCTGCAGCTGAAAGACAACTGAAATAACACTCAGTTCACTGATGAAGAACATACATTCTTATATCTGAACTGGCACAGATTTTGATGAAAATTAGTAAACCTACCACGATATTAAAAAACATGTTCGCCTATCACTGAAAGAAATAGTATTTTCACGCAAGTTTCATTATACAAACTGCACTACAAAAAACTACACTCAATGCATTATTAGCTAACCAGTTCAAAAAACACAGTAGTTAAGTAGAGTTTAACTACTATATTTTAAATCAATCAATGTTTTAGTTTGTTGAGTTTAAATGATTCAATTCAAAGGTAAGACTTAGATTAATGCATTGGTAACATGTAGCTTAGAAGACACCAGGTACTGAGTGCAGTTTAAAACAGAGCAGTAAGGAGAAAAAGAGAGGAACGCAGGACTAGATAAATTAAATGGTGCATTTGATTCAGAACCAGGGTACCACTCACATTTAACGGCAAGAGCTTTTCTTCATATAAAACATCCAAATCAATTATAAAGAATGCACATAATTACTGATCTGTAGAACTAGTCATACAAAAAATGAATTCATCATAAAACTGGATACACAAGTTAATCTAAGGAAACCAGGTAAATTGAGTACTTACCTGCATGCGGAGCACGAAGCAGGTGAATGTTCTGTTTGACTTCTTTGATGTCTTCTGCCTTCTGCAACTCTTTGCTCTTCTTTAATCTGAGGCAGGGGGAGGAGGGAAATAAACAGGATTAAATTAGCTTCAAAGAAGAGGAGTGTGTTTTCTGTTTAATACACGACATACACAGCTTTAAATAAAATACGTAAATGGTAAATAACTGATTATAAGAAAGTAATGGTAAAAATATTTTAAACCTGATTCAAGCATAAACTGGAGGCACAACAAGGAAGGAGCCATAACTACATCAATTCTTAATAGGAATTTGTTTGAATTTTGGACTCTTCAAACCAGCAATATCAAAATACACCTACTAACACTGGGTGTCCAAGAGCTACTGCTTCTTGGAGAGCCAATACGGCATAGCTGTTTGGTCCACTCAACAACTTTACCACATTGCTTGGACTAATGTGTATGTACAAAGCAAACACCTATCTAAAAGTTCTGATCATCCTATCTTTGGAAAGATGGAATATCTAATATGGATTTGCAAGAGCGCCCATAATACAAGTTCCCCTCCTTACCTGTTCATAATAAATCTAGCTTGGCGTTTCTGCTTTATTTCTTCTACTCTCTTCATCGCATCAACTGAAACAAAGCAAAAGTTGTTTTAAATGTGCTTACATGCATACAGCTAAAAACATATACTATTTCATACAGTCACATTACAGTTTTCCACAATATGAAACCTCTACAGAGACGACTGTTACACTATACAAAGGAAGTTCTTCCTTCTTCAAAGAGCATAACAGAAGAACATTCTGGGTACCAACTAAACCAAACTGTATTTTAAAATTTATTAATGCTTCCACTTTTATGCCTATATGTATTTTCTACAGCTAACCATCACAAGAGAAGACTCTTGTTCTAATTCAGATCAGATGCAAACTACCACATTCCCCTTAGTGGCATTCATTCGTAACTAAAAAAATAACTCACTCCTTCATCCTACATTGTTTGATCTATTAAAACAAACTGAAGCAGAAGGAGTGGGAACGAAGAAACAACTAGATCAGTGTAAAAGGTGTACACTGGGAGCCCCTCAAAAGCTGTAGAACCAATCGGGTTTTTCAAATATAATGTTTAAAAACAGGTTAATGCTGCACCTGGTTTTCTGTTTTCTTGGGGGTGGGGGGGAGAGGTGGAAATCAAGTGAAACTCCACACCTGCTCACAACTCAACCCACTCTACATTAGGAATTTGGTTATGATTCCAGTACTTTCAAACAACAATCACTAGAAGCATCAATACTCTGAGAAGTCTTCTGAAAACAGGTGCGTGTAAAAAAAGTTCACTCTTCATGGCTTGTCTTTTGCTTTTTCTAGGATGACTCACCAGTCTTGCTCCACAGCTCTCTCTGATATTTCACTGGTTCATTTCTACGTTTTTCAAACTCAAATGAATTATCCTACATAAATAAAAAGTAAATACAGATTACATACAGAAGCATACTTAGATCAACACTTACTTATTGTAGCACCCATAGTTGTCACATGTGATTTTTTACTTTCAGAATCTCAATTACTACACTTCAACGACCTTTGGAGATTAGCAAACTAGAAGGAGATATATTAGCATGCCTGACCTCAAAGTGCCAGATACCACAGTGATTTATCTGAAGAGAACTATTTACCAAAACTGCTTCCTGGGCTATTTTCTTTCTAATGAAAGAAAGGGAAGAGGGAAGTCCCAGTCTGGAGTATGAAGTAAGGAGTAGACTAGACAGGTAAAAGGCAAAATTGACAACATGAAGAGCTGAAAACATTTACTGCAGGTCAAATTAGTTTTATTTAACAATTCGTAATTTTAAAAAAGTTCAAAAAGAAACACTGTCTTAAGAATATTTAAAAAAAGTTATCTGAAAGTGCCATATATTTCAATTTGATGATGATGTGTATTTTTTAAGGGTTTGAGACAGAATTTTTTGTTAGGAATGCTTAGTCTTACATAAAGTTTATCTGAAGATCTTTCCCTGACAAGACCTTTTTTGTAATAGTAGAGCAGGTATCAGACCAGCTGATAACCTTCACTTGAACAAAAGACAAGGAGAGAAACAATATATAATAGTAAGAAATGCCACACACACTCACAAGCCACGCTTCATTTCGAGAGAAATGGAAATTAATTTTCACAATGGGATAGCATCAAGCAAAAAATACAAAATAGTATACGAAAACACACACACATATACATATGTGTAAAGAACATATATAAACACATACTAACAGACATATGTGTCAGTACACTAACATCTAGAGGCCACTCTTCTCATTCTTCCAAAAATTCCCTAAAATACATTTTTAACAAAGTGTCACAGGCTATCACAACATCAGTCATTGAAAATTTTCTCCTAAACAGTCAGATTTTACTTATTACAATATACAGCATTGTTTTGTATCATGACAGCACACCATAAACATTTCCAAAAGAAATGCCACAAGAGTAGCAGATAAACTACGTGCATGCTGCCTCACACTGGCCAATGGATCTTTTCAGTTCCAAAGGTGAGGGGACAATCAAATGACTGCACAAAAACACTGGAAGCTGTAATAAAGATAGTCCTTCAGGAATATCTTGGGAGCAACTGCCTGGAAAGCCTATGACCTTCTGAATGTTTTTTGTTGTTTTTTAAATAAATAAAAAAAACCTGAAATCCAGGAAAACAAGTAAATACACATATGCTCTATCCAATGTGCTTAACTGTTCAAAGCAGTGAGAATTGTCACCTTCTTAACAAACTACAGTATTTCTCATTGCTACAAGCCTATTCAGACACCCCACCAAAGCTTGCTTATGAAAGAATACCAACTGTATTAAAATAAAGCAGTACACTTATGTATTGTGTTTAATACATAGCATCCAAAATACAAGCTCTAGGACACACAGTATACTAACATCTACAGGCCATTCTTCTCTCTCTCGCAAAACAAGAGCACTGTTTCACTTACTTAGACATGCATAAAGTAAATTTAAATTAAGAGCTTAAGTTCTTTTCAGTAAGGTAATTCAACTTAGCCAAGAACTTGAAAGCAAGCAGCACAATTACAAAAAACGATCATTAAAGATGGTGTCTGAGAGTAACATCAAAAAAAAAAAAAACCTTCCCACAGCAAGATCCAGACAGCAGCAGGTCATTGTATCAAAAACATACACTGAATTGTTAGTATTCTGCAAAAATAGGGTAATTAAATCAGTAATTCTTCAACCGTTTAAGGACTGTCCTGCCAAATATACGTATTTAGTGTTTTTACCATTGAAGTAACTTTGTCCTGAAACTTTTTTTTTTAATTATTTTAACACTCCATATGCTCTTTTTGAAACTTTCCTACCCATGCAGATTCCTTCTAAACATTCTATGCTTTAAGGAGATTTCAGAAGTTAACTGTCCTACATCTTTATTTATAGAGATGGACAATACACACACACACATTAAAAAATTAAATATATAATACAGAGAAAGACTTCTGAAGAGTACCCCATAACTCAGATTATCTGATTGTACAGAAACACAATTACCAAATGCATATGTAAGAGTAGAAGATTTATATGTGAAAACGTGTCTTACTCTTGGGAACCATCGTGTACTACTGATGCAGTTACCTGATATGCTGGCTTCCATAATGAAGCTGAAAGCTGAAAGATGCGTTACAGCTCAGCTAAACAAGTAACTCACTCCCAAGAAAACTCTCACTTCCCCTTCCACAGTGCCTCCTTTCCTCCACTTACTCCATCATCCCTGGCACTTGTCTAATTAAATGGTAAAGCATTCAACTAGCTAACCTAACCTGTCTGCAAGAGGAAGAGGTTTATTTTCTGCCAGTCTATGAGTTAATGTAAAGTGTAAACCGGTTTCTTTTCTTACCACCGTCAATTCTTTGCCAGCTGCTTTCCGGAAGGCTTTGGTCCATCTGATCTTTCTGGGATTCCGCTTCTTTTTAAAGTTTTTGTGGCATTTTGATTTGCAGAATCTAAATATCTTGAGAAAGAAGAAAAAAGTTTACCATCAAATTATGTTATTCCTGTCCAATTCCAAGCAAACGCGACATAAAATACTGAAGCTTCTCTAATATCACTGCTCATTGAAAAATGACATTGACCTTACAAATTTCAATGTTTTAATTTGAGATACAGCTATTAAGCATCTACAAGGGATTTTATTTTTTTATCATTCTGAAAATAAATCTGCATTTTGGCAATTACAGACGCTTTATTTTCATTCTCAGGTCAGCATACATAAATTTGTACAGTCACAAAAAATTCTAAGGTTTGGTTATAGCTGCTTATTTACTTGGCTTGAAATCCAAAAGAAACATTGTAATAACTCCCTTTCTT